TTTCCTGTAGGTAGCCCGAAGGTCCCCAGTCTACGACAATCGACGAACAGTGAACAAGTTTAAAGGAAATATCCATGCCGCCGATTCAGAGGCATGGCAGGCGTATACGAAAACTGATTGAAACGATTAAAGAAGCCAAGGGTTCAGGGGTTATCATGTTCCTACTACTTATCGAAACACAAACATGTATTATGTTGGTTAAAGTTAGAGTTCACCTAGTATTACAATTTCAACTGCACTAATTGAATAGCAGTTCGATACATTGAAGTCCGTTGTCGTCGATTTATAGCTGAGCGAAGGATTCTTTTCAAAGAAACGCCGTAATGTAGAAGGGTAAATTGATTTAGCGTATGGAGAATGTATGAACGCACGCGTGATGATTGCACGAAGTAATTTTATAAAAGAAAAAGAATGAACCTTTGGTGCTAATATCTAGTTAAATGGAGTACAGTTTCGGCCGTCCAATGTACGTTGAACTGAACAAAGTGGAACGCTTGCGCGGGTAAGACACAAATTGTAGCGGCCAGCTAAACGAGGTACCATTTACTAACCACTGCCTGAAGACGAATCAAACTTATCCGCCAGCGTGAGGCTCTTCTCTCTCTTTAGTGCTGACTATGTTGAGCTATTGTAGCTTTGATGCCGCAGGCAGATAACTACGTCGCAATTCTATTGTCTTCATCATTCTAAAGCTCGCCTGCCCATAATTGCTAAGTGTGAAAGTGACTTGTGCCAACTTCTACGGGCTCTGTTATTATCTACGCAGTACATTATGCCTTTAATACGCCGGAATAGAAGTCTTGATAGTGGCAACAGAGTTAGACTCTCCGGAGCTGTCTAGAGAATCAAAAACCTTGAAAAGCTTGGTTTTTTAGTATTTGTTAGATGTACGGTCATTTAATGTTTTTGCATTGACACTATCGCTATGAGAACTTTTCAACAGCTGTAAACTTGTAACTGAAATTACTATGCCCAGTGTTGTTATTCGTGGTTTATTTAAGAGAGTAAACAGTAGGATATTGCTTTCTTACGGACCTAAAAGCAGTCGGAATCACATGAGCTGAACATTTGAATGTATGAAGCTCAAGACATCGCTTGATTCTGTTTTGTTTTTTTGTCGACATCAGTAGCGACGGAACCGTCGTGCTGAGGTCGTCCGTTGTTGTCAAGTAACCACACGTGCGCGCTGCCAATCATCACGCCATACATTTTTGAGATTTTCAAGCGATCCTAAATATCTGACAATATTGACCGTTCCTTACTCGGACGTTGCCTTCGCATCCACTGCAAGTATACTTACTAACTTACACCCGAGTCTACTCAGGGCGGCCACCGAAATCGTCGACTACTTGATGCCATGCTTTCACTAAATTGGTTTTAATAACTAGGACAAATTGAGTAACTTCTCGACTATAGCAACGGTGTGCTTCAAGTGTATTCTTCGCTGGAAGTAGATGTACAAGTACTATACCACACGTGTTCCTATTTGTCGTTAGTTCAGTACAAGAAAGACCTCTATTTTTGTTTGCATTATATTTTGTGTTCTCGTTACGATTTAATAATATGTACTTTGCGAAGTCCCAGGTTGAGTCCATAGAGGGTGCGTTGTTTATGTTGTGTATCGTTCTAAAGCTTCCGCGATCACTCAAATTTGTTCCGGCATTTCAGGTACAGCCACGTCCACGGCGGTTTCCAGCTTGTTAGTTTATATTTTTAAAATCAATAACAACCCGTTATTTTGCTAAATGCTTTTCACCGGTCCTTGATGAATTCCGCTAACGCTTTCATCTTTGAGAAAAACAGCGCTAATCTTCAGCATTGAGCGATACATTTGTCTCTAGGGTAATTGTCCTCTGATGACACTCAGTCACTTATAGTTGTAAGGATTTATAAATATTGACCAAATTTCATGTCTTAGTAATCTGTGCTTAGATGGCTATTCGAATTTTTCGATTTTCTAAGTTGTGCTTTTTTTGTAGGTGACGCATATTTGCTATTAATTCGTACGTATATCGTTGACTTCTTTTTTTATTACTAAATTGAATTTCAATGTTTGAGGGATAAACTTTCAACCCAGTACTACCAAAATTTATAAAAGAGCATGTACCAAGAACAAAATCATTAGTAATACAGTGTCATAACGCATGTTGAAGATGAAATCCTGACGTTTTAGGTATTTGTGCAAGGACGCGGCAAGATTTGCTACAACTGAGCTATTGCCGGTGGTGTTTGTATGCTCCGGTGGGCTTTTTCTTTCGGATCAAACATGTCCTATAACGTAGTATTATTCAGAATATTTGTAAGGCAATTGCAAATTCGTTCAGAGAGTTCTTGTTGTATGCTTGAAGAAAGGGAGCACAGTCGGTCTCTGATGACGGAAATGGTGAACGCTAATTTTTTAGGTCCCACGTAACTATAAATAACTGAGCTAACATTACACCAGATAAAACGGTATGTCATTTTTACTTGAAAGGAAGCTGATTTCTCAAATGATCTCATTCCCGAAATCGGTACCTCATCCATGTGCCCTATATGAGGACGCAAGCCACGTGGGTCTGAAGTAATTGTATGCTGGCACGTCTTAGTTTTGGGTAATACATAAAATATAGGAGCAGCGAATAAAAATTTCAACCTGGTTAATGAATGTAATATATAACCACTATTAAGAAGGCCCCTTTGACTAATTTAGTGTAACTGCAAAACATTTCTCAAATTATTATAGAAAATTAAAGCATTCGAGGGCGATGATTCCGCAATGGATAATAATATCCGTAGCGTCATGAGTACAGATTTTGAATATATTACGATCCGGGGGTTTAATTCAAAGAGGTCAAAAGCTAGTGCAGTACGCAGACCAGATTTCACTTCTAAAGTTTTCAGTAATGGAGTAGAACAGCAGTAATGCAACTGTAGGACTCTTACCCATTGAAGCGTGAGACTGACTCAGATATTACTTCAAATCAAAGCTTGCAGGAATAACTAGTAGGTCTGAAAGTTCATCAGTCGCTTTCTAATCCGTCCTTCACTAACCGCGCTGAATCCCGTGCGAATTCGTATCACTCGCCCTTCCAACCAATTCGATTCTGTAGCAGTGGCTTTTAGTTTCGTATCTACTTACCCATCAGCTATCATGATTTCAGGCTCTGCGTTCTGCTATCTGCGTCCATCCACTCTTGCCTTGTACAATTTGCTCGCCCGCTTAACATAATACGTACGCTTGATAAACGTAACTGCGTAGTAAGATGAAACAAAACAATAAAATAATTTGAAAAAACACTGAGTTTCAGTTTAAACGGTGTCCTTTGTCATCTGAAAATAATGTGTTCTATCGGAATAAGTTATCAGAAATGGAATGGCAGCCCAACCAAAATCAATGGTTAAAGGCTAGCCCTCATTTCGAACAACACGAGTGACACCAAATTTTAACTATGCTATTCAGGATATCTTTTGTGATGGAGAAGAGCAAGAGCGGGGCTCACAGCTTCTTTTGTTTATTTCTGTAAAAATGAGCAGGTTTCGTCGTTCGAATCTTTGGTACGCAAGAACAATATCATGATTGTTGATTAAGACGTTCGCAGGAAGTTCATTCCTGTTTTAACGAGATCATCTAGAATAGTCACAAATGCACGTATTACGTCACATACATTCGTTTCGTGTACTTGCCTTTATCTTTTCCCAGCATAAAACAATTGTAACGTTGTCCAAATATTGCGAGTTCACTCTCTATGGCATACAAATATAAAGAAGAATAATCAAAGTTGTCACGCTGTACGATTCTCTCTCTGTGTTTCGCCTTTTACGTCCCGATATCGTCATCAGGCCTTCCATTCGTCCAAGGTCTCATGCCACGATTTCAGCCTCACGCTAGTCATCATCAATAAATAGCTTACTAGTGCCTTATTCGATCCAGGAGAGTACTTATTTGGACTCCTCAAATTTTAGATGATGAAAGAGCGGACACAAAAGTATCACTACGGTTAAACACGATCGTTACTATGGTAGCAAGCAGCAGTTAACTTGAGAAATTTACTAGTTAGTCCTAGATACGTAAACGTACTAATCTGTCTTATAATCGCATAGATGCTCTTCAATTTAATACAAGAAAAAAGGCATTAGTTGGCCTTGACAAAAGGAAACATTCGATCTTTTATTTAAACTCTACGACATCACCTTACCGAACGATAGTTTGTAACATAAGTAGTTTCAACCACAATATACGCGATGTGTGTCGTTTGTTGATGAACATAATCACACCCAAACCGTACAGTGGTTCTTCTCCCTGTTCATAGATCCAGAGTCTGCTACAGTTACACCTAAGAAATACTGTTATAGGCAACAAAATATTATTTCAAAAAGGAACAATTTCAAATATCCAATTACGTCTAAAAGTACTATATTGGTGGTCCTTAATGATTTGCCAAACATAATACGTAACACGCATTGATTATAAGAAGATTGTTCCTCGACGTATGTATTTATTTACTGTAATCGCTAACAATTACCGCGAAAAATTCCTAACACAGGGCAGCTTTTTTCTGAAAAATATAGTAAAATTTTTTAAATGAAGATGCTATTAATGGGAAAAAGTTGAATATATATTTATGCAGTACCGTTATGTGTTCGTTTTTCGATGTATAAGAAAAACGAGGCGTCCTGCCGGTGTTAGTTTGATCAGTGTGTTTTTAACTACGCACAAGGAAATCGATCAGTCCACTATACGAGATTACCCAAAATTTAGAATTTACGTAGCTTTTTAATTCAGTTATCAGTTCTACCATAGCTTTTCGCCAGAATAAACTGTCATAGACTCGTCCAATTCTCAATATTAATCTAAGAATAGGACTTATGGATTATGCTTGCACATTAAGCACAAATCATCATCACAATTCAGTACTACCGTTAACGTTCATTTCCACTTTATTTGTGTTTATATATATATATATATATATATATATATATATATATATATATATAGGGCTGCATCTCTTAGTTTTCGCGAACTTGAAGTATAGCAATACGTTTCCCTATACTTAAAGCCCTCTGATTCCCCGTATTCGACGCTTCTGCGTTACGAATGTATCGATTATGGATGATTCAAGCCAAAAGCATGCGTAGTTCTCTCTTCATAGGACTCACACTGAACCTAAGTCCTGAAAAAACTTTTTCCCTGAACATTTCCTGTGTCATTTCCCTTCGACAATGTTCTAAGAACCTACCAAATAGCACAGACAAATTTTCAAAAGTAGCGCTTTGCTCAATAAACATTCAAGATATATTATCCGATCTGGTCTATTCTCGTTAGTGAATGTTAGTCTTTTTACATGTGTACATTCAGATGTCTACAAATGAAATTTAATTGAAAACAAGTGACAAATTTGTAACAAAAAGTAGCTCGTGTGTCGACATGTTTCAAGTTAGGTCATTTCACACGATCTGCGTTTGCTATTAATAATTTCCATAGAGTTGCTTTGTACCTAAATTAGCTCTTTGCGGTTCACTACACGGTAGGAGTACTTGTCAAATTGTAAACGAGATACAATTGTTTCAACATCCTGAGATAATGAGATTTAGTAATTCGATGACGATAATTATTCACACATGTAGCAAGTTTTCTCTAAGGTAAGAATCAACTTTAACGAGGCATCATATGAACAACTATTCAATGAATACCGAATTTCATCGATCGAAAAACTTTTACGCTTACTTACCTGAAGTACTACAGCCAGTAACTTCTATGATTTCTGGACGAAAAATAGTAACAAATTATGTTTGCGGTTCCCCATTGAGTTTTAATAAACTCTATTACAAGCTTTCTACAGGAATTGATAGTAGTTTAGCGGTGGAGACACTGAAATCCTCCCAATTTTTGCCGGCTAGGTAATAACATATATAGTTTGACATTATCATTGCGGAAAACGACATCTTTCGTTTCGAAAAAATTCGTCTTTTACATATTCACCAAAGAAAACAAGCGTATGAAAATTATACCATATATTACCATAAATTCTATCCCGCTTACTGCAAGAGTTTTGTGTTTGTTAGAAAGCTTATTACATTCAGTCCTTTTCCACGGCTAACTGAACATCAGCAGTACCTCATAGAGCCGCGATAAATGATAATTGAAGTAGAAAAAAAAAAATTGAATTCCTTCTGTCCCCGCGATAATTTATCTAGCGTTGCCGGAAGTCTGGGATGTAGCTAGCGTTAGTTGTCACGGGACTATTCTTCGTGATGACGTTGAATCTTCCTAGGCAGGACGCCCATAATCACGGCAGTAGGGTACTTCATCCGGAGAACCATGGGAATACAAATTCTTATCAGATCTCACTGACACGAAGGACAATGGCCACGAGCCGGCTTGTTGATACGTAAGCGTTGGATGACGGCCAACTTATCAGCAAGATTCGTAGGGTTCGCATGTTGTAATTAAACCCTTATGCGAATAAATGCGGTAGTACACAGGTAGGTGTTACGGATAGCTGTTTTAAGCTAAAGGGATTCAGAAACAATTTAGTGATAATATCTTATCTTTTATTTAATAATTTAGTGAAAAAAGAAAAAATTAGAAATAATTTAGTGAAAAAAGTAATCTCACTATCGTATAAATAATTGTGGAATCGAAAATTTGGCGTAGAGTATTCACATATATTAGTACATGCAAACTTACCTACAATTTTCAGCGAGAACAGCTTACGCTTCTTTTGTCAATCAAAATTATAATTCATTTTCTGCCGAACTCATTTTAAACACGGGTATATATACTGAATCGCGCTTTTGCCATATATCATACGCTGATATGTCGCTTATTACATTCGGAGGAACAGTGATATCGTTTTATATGTTACAACTGGGCTCGACCTAACAAAAGGATAAAGATGTTATTTTGATATAGAGACCATACGATTTCCCTTTCTCTTGACAGCTGCTTTAGGTTTTATGGAGATGTGTGGCAAGCCTTTCCTATGAAGTATCGTGCTGCACCGTGTGACGTTTCGCACGCGAGTGGTATCCAATCTTGGAAGGCAACAAAATTTAGAAGTACCAAACTGCTTCCTAACAAATAGCGGTTGGATGTTGCTACCGTGAGCTTTTTTTTGAACACCTATACGTATATATGTGTATTGGTTTGCACTGGTACAAACATATCATATTAAAAAGGAAATAATATCGTGTGAACACTTACTTGTCACAAATCAGTTGCTCAATCAGTTCGGCTGCATTAAGAATGCCTCACATTTTCTAACGCCTAAAAATGCTCTTCGGAATATGGGGAACATGGACGTCTATCTAAACGTGTATGTTATCGATACGATAATGATATTTTAATCTGTTTTAGTCTCGACAGCGGTAACAAACTGCCAAAATTTAGGGTTCTCTTTATAGTACCGGCAATAATGTTGCTATATCGATGAACCGGTAAGAAAATGAATTTTAATTTTATATGGTCTAGCATAAGTCCGTGCTGAATTGAAGTACGCTGAGGGAATCAAGGCCACGATAGGCATCTTAAAAGGAACGTATAACATGTATACTTGTACAAGGTGAAATCTTGGCAGTCTCAGTTCTCAGGGAACTTTATATAAGCTCAAATATTTTCGATTGTCCAAATCCCAATCACGTCCACATAAATATCAATTTATCTGAAAATCTGTGCGATTCCGCTAAAAAGGCCAACGTGATATGGATTGTTTCAATGGAAACATTAGAATAATTGTGTTGACCTTTACAGATTTGCTTTTTCTATTATTACAAAATACAACAGATGCCCAGTTATTGTTTTACTTTTAGGTGAATATCTACATTTCCTTAGATGTAATAACAATAAAAGAAAAACAAACTCATCGACAACGTGAATTTTCGGTCTATAGAAAATATTAATATTGTGAGTAGGCACACGCAATAGTTTCTGCATTACTTTACAGGGGCTTACTCTTCCTGTTTGATTCACACTAGCCTCTTACTTATTATAACCGTCATAGAAGTAATGGATGCGTCAGCGAAACGAGCAGTGGCACCACATAGTGTATCGAATATACTAAGGAGAAGCCAGGCTCAGTCGTCCTTATGAGTCATGGTTGTCGCACATTAGTGACTTTCATCGTTGCATATCCATAAGTTAGTTTGATACAGAAAAGTTGACTCGCTTCTCCTTGGAACTGTACGTTCTATATGCATGTACATGCTTGTATCTAATAATCGTCTACAAATGCATCTGGAAATGTATGATTGCGAAATCGTACTCGGCTACTGAAGCACTTGTGGTACTTCTATTAGTTATCGATATTTCTAGATAATTTAATTTTCAGAATTATCAGCCTTAATCAAAATAACTAGCTCAGCGAGTCTCAGAAACTCGAGCAGTATTATTTACTAATCGTTTAATATATGCTCGTCCATATAATGACCTACGATTTTTCAAATGTATTGCTAATTTCTGATCCAATTAATCGTAATCCATATGGGTGGATCGGCCTGAACCTTCCTGTGATATTGTTTCTGTACTTCTGCTACATATTGATACTTACGACAGTATTTTAAAATTTTTTTTTTCACAGGTCGATTTTGGTCCGTGCAAATTATTTTTAATTACTCCTCTAAAAAGAAAGAAGAATCAGAAAGATATGATGTGTAAAATAGTGCATATTTTAGGGACATACTGTATGTTCTAGCCTCACAGTAGGGAAAATATAATGACAAACATAAACACAGAATTTTCATAGCGATAGCCTTTTCAGTTGTTGGCACGTATAATCTCTCCACTATTATCTTACATACATCAGGATTCTATTAAGCTCAAAAGTAAAATGTCTCTGTATGAAGAACTATATTCTTCAGTTCCTGAAAAAATTTATTTAAATATAGACCACTGGTCAAACATCGCATATTTACTAGGCACTGCAATATCATTACTAAAGAATAACACAGTGGCGTCGCCGAACTGGCGTATTTAAGTAGCGTTGTAATGATATTGCGTTACTGGTACAGGAAGACGATTCAAGCTCTGTTCTTCTCGCGCCCGTTTTTAACAAATTTAATACATAAATATTGCGAAAAAATCACATTCTGCCCTATTGAATGCGCTTTTGGGGAATGATTGTGATCAACTTGTCCTACAACAATAGCCGGCTGGCCGATTTTAAGGAGCTGCTTTGGTTTTGCTTATCTAAATGGTCTATCTCAGGCCGTTCAGGGTCGGACGCTTGCGCGAACCAATTTCTGGAAGCCAAAAATCGCTGACCAGCAAAAAGACGATACCCGCAATGCATTAATGCACACAGTATCATAGTGAAGAGCTACCGAAAACACGGTTTCTTGTAAAAAAAAAAAGATGAAAATCTTGAAAATCCTGGTCAAAGAAGAAATTATCGAAAACTGTTGTAGGATTGGACTATGTAATGATTGGAGGTGACTATTTAGAATCGTCGAGGAAGCTCCTTATGAGAATGAAGCGAGTATTTAGGTGAAGAAGAAGATAACTGGGAAAATCGAGATAACGAATTTTATTGACAGTTTGGTACATTGATGCTTTTTAAAGCTTCTTTACGAGTCGACACAAGGTATAGTAGATAAATGTAGGTATTTTTCATTCAGATTCTGATTGTTGCATGTTAAGTCGAGCATACTGCTCTTTTTTGGGGGTTCGTTGCACTCCCGCTTGAAACGTTATCCACTATCCAATCTAAGAAGATCCATTATTTGACACGTACAAGCGCTATTTGGTTGCTGTCACAAATAGCTTTCTGTAATTAAACCCATCCATTTTATATGCGTGTCCGTAAGCAAATATGAAGCATACTGCCAATCGTTGCCGAAACAAGCCGTTCCAAAACACACGGCTATGGATAGGTGTTTCTTGGAGTAAGTGTAACTTTCATGTATGTCTATAATTGAATATCTTCGGGGCCATTTGCAATTTCTCCAATTTAACTCGATTTTAAGATGCGTTAAATTTAGCTATATGGTAGTTTATAGTGTGTCTCAGTCGAAAACTGTATTCATTTAAGAGAAGTCGGTGCCGCGTACTGAAATGAATCGATTATCGTTTCATAATAGTCTCCTTGTCCGGAGGAGGAAATCTTACTGAAGACATTTACAGTCTCCACGACTTGATCTTTAGCTTTCATTACGGGGAAAATTAGAATTAAATCCAGATTCAAAAACGTACTAAAATTCTTGTTGCGGTTTATATAGCGTTGGAGTCGAAAAACCAACTTCAATATACTTTGAATATGGCCATACAATAATCAAGTGTGTGTCAAGGCTTGCACGAGGCTTCCTTGAAAAATCCTCAGCGTCAGCCGCTTATTGTCCTGGGTCATCGGTTAGTTAATTCTGAGCCCTGGCCGACTCCAACAAGAAGACCTTGGGCGACGATGAGATAAAAAATAGTGCAAACGTCATCTTTGAAATTCCCTTACTCTAACTGACACGAAATTTCGGCGTTATCGCACACCAAGAAATATACCAATAGAAATAGATTAAATACAGAGAAATATATGTCTAGCAATAACGTAAGCACGGCAAACTGATCGTTTATGTGTGCAAGGGGTGAGCATTCAACTTAGGAAAGCTTAAGTTTAGCATGTTTAGGATCCGTATCAAAGCGTAATAATAAAAGTGCATTTCTGACAAACTAGTTAAACTCCGAAATAGATAATTCGATAACAATCGAAATAATTTATGAAATCTGTGCATTGTTACTCTGTGCAATGGACTGTGCATGTTAATAGTGCCATAGTGAGCACAATGTACGTTCAGTTCCATTAGTGTTGACGTCAAGCGAGCGAAGCGTAAGGTCACGAGTCAAGGGCTCAGTGCCATGAGACGTATAGGGACAACGGCTGCTTGTTTGATCTTCATAGGGAAAACGAATGCTGTCGCTCCCGCTGGAGGTAGCGCCCATACGTGATCAACGTTGTTAATCAGGTAGACGTTCGCAGATAGGAGAATCTGTTGTGACTCATACTTTCTAGAAAGGCCGTGATCCACTGCTGGAGTGTCAATTCCTACTGCAAATAGACGCCGCTGACTAACGAGCCACTGCGCAGCTTCGGGATGAATGCCCGGGTAGTTCATGCTTTTACCCTGTTATGAATGAACAGAAAAGTCTTACAAATCACGGTGAACGACAATATCGTAAATGTCTAAATGCGGAATGGTTTGGAAGCGCTGGATATACCTGCAGAATTATGAGTGGCGAAAAAAACTGTGGAAACATTCACAATCGTTGTACTACACTAGTTCAAATTGTTTATGCATGTACCATTGACTTCGTTACCCCGCTGTAACATTATAGGAAAGCAACTGTTGGCAAAAGGCCGACTTTTTTCATCCGATCAGTGAAACTAAAGGCGTAAAGTTACCTGCAAGTCTACCTATCTTGTGATTTTATGAATGAAATCTCATCCAGCTGTTATGAAATGAATACGTTGTCTTGAAAAATCTGCCTATACACAAACTACAACATTGTTTATATAAAATTTCCAACGAAATTTAATTGACTAAAACGCTTAGTAGCATAGTACGCGATGATAACGTTAAAAAGTAACTGGTACTTTTTCATATTACAACTAATTCAATTGCTGCATATTTTAGCGCTTTGAAGTTTTTTTGGATCTCTCAGTAGGTATGCTATCGGTGTAAAGATCTTCTTACGTAGTTACAGTTCACGTAATTTCTGTTCCTGCAGCATCTCCCTTGCAAAATTCTAACGTATTATTTGCCACTAAACTGTGATATGACCTCTCAATATCCCCAACACTTTGACGCGCCCGATCTAGAGCACCTAAACGACTAAGCACAGAACTGGTCTGCGTGCTTGTCGATATTTATTAATATGGTAATATTTAATAGGTTTTTTTCTATAGATACTGCAACATATCCGCACCACTGGTACTTACTTTCAAGTTTTTCGTCCCCGTAAACACTTAAGGGCAACAAAATTATTGAGCTAAATTTTGATTCGTATACCAGGTAAACATAAACGCGCGATTACATACTTTTCGATAGTTTTTATCCGTTCCAAAATATTTTGAAGCATCTCCCCAGAACCTTTTGCTCCAGCCAGTGTTGACCATTAGAAGACCGCCCTGGGGTAGTTTGCCATGCATGTCTTCCCATCTGAAAGTGCAAAAAAACAGGTAAATAGAAGTTATTCCTGCTTAATTTGATTACTGTCTTTTTCCAAAAGATGCGCAAAGCTGTGGATGAGCGCGGTATATTAGTTTTCGATATGAAGCGAAGCCTGTAAAAGCTTACCTTTTACTACTACATAGATTGCGATGTTACTTTCGGTAAAAGAGATAGCCATAATAAGGTTAATGAAGAGGAGCAACAGTAGTTTGGATATCCAGCCATGATAAAAGCGCTAAAACGGTGACAATATAGATCCTTAAAATGATGCGATTAACGAATAGGTGAAAATAACAAATTCGGGATCGACAATAGTTTATCGCATAATAACGCCAAACTCATACTTTTATCAGTTAACTTATCGCTTCCCTATTAAAGTTACTGTTTAATTGTTACCTTGTATTGTGAATCATCCATAGTTAACTTATGCAATGCGACATTGTTACTCTCTAATAGAAATATCGCATTTATAACGGCAGATACAAAAAGAAAGAATACGATGCGGCAAGAATTACCTTATCCATAGACTACATCATTTATTATCTTGCAACAATTTCCTGCAGATGGAAAAGGGAAGCTTACTAGATCTGTCGCGAACGTCTCTAGGCACACGTTCTCACGATAGGACACCAAGTTCCAATTCGGGAGACTGATCTCTATCACAGGGATAAAGAGATCGCTCATTTTACTCTATGAAAGGAAAAGCAAATGCAATCGCCTCTGTATTTTGCTAATACTCAAATTGGCCCTGCACTCTTGTCGCCATAAAATAAGTACAGTGTGAGAGGGGAAACGCAAAGAACCATTCCGACTAAGAAATGCAAGGCACCTTTGGCTAATGCTTTGTCACTATTCAAACTTGTTATCTGTGCCGTGTGCATGTGGGCAGAAAAAATGTGCATAAATGGAACCGGAGGTATTTTTCGTTTCATGCAACGTCAAATATCGCCCGCTAGGTTTTATTGCGTGCGCAGACGAGGCGCACGATACGATCGTCATTGCTGTTACGTCGTTCAAGTGCACAAAGAACGCGGAGAGTAGGCGGTGGGCGCACGCATAGATGCTCAGTGGCTAAGGGAGGTATGAAGCAAACACCATCAGCTGTGTCTGTCTATGGTCAAAGCAGTATGGCAACTATTCTGGGCGTGTACGTACCTCACTTGCAAGCTCCATCCGTTAGCAGCTCGCACTCATTAATAGTTTGCCCATAACAATCTGTCTAGTCTTATTCGATTGGGTAACATAGGCCTGTTGTGTACTCGCCCTCTTCTTATATTAAAGTCTAGCATTATTGGATTATCTGAGACTTGCCGCCTGTTCCAGTAGGTCATATTGGTATCTACTGTGCACATCTATAGAGAGAATTTCTGCAAATTGTGGAACAAGGAGAACTTTTTGGGATCGTGACGGGGTAGAGATGATGCTAACGCTGCTGCTGCTGCTCTATCTCGGTGCCTGCGTCCCAAGCAACCTTACGGTGAACATGTTGCTTCCTGAATGCGGGACAATGTTTTCAGGAAAATTGTCAGGTAGATTGTTCAAAGTTCAAGTTGAAAAATACGAATAACTTCTAGACCGTATATCATTAACGGACGAAAAAAAGTATTTACACCGTCTTTTGCGCATCTTCCGGTAGCGCTCTCACCTGTGGGAAGCAGAAATTTTGTCAATTTTTATTATTTTTTTACTACATTCCGTCTGCTTACAGTCGTATACAGTAAATAACTTGATATAAATATCTATCAATTTCCGCCTGCTAGATTAGAAGTAAATCTACTTTTTTAACTAAATAGCTTGGGGCAACCAAATATATATGTTGAAATAATATCATATTCTAACTAGTATTTGTAATCAGCATTGCACTGCTTATCGACTGCTATGCAAACGGCCCGTTTCGTTAATTCGTGTTTCTACAATTTCCGCTCTCCGCGATATATTAAAATATTTTATCGAGTGAAGGTACCGTCCAGTTTCATCAGTTTTTCTACAACAAAACACAGAAAAAAGGGAAGTTAGATGTACTTCTTAAAGCGCAATCTGGAGAATTAGATATGTTTGCAGCATCTAACTGATATATACGAGTCCAGATATGTTTGTGAAGAAAAACTGACTTGTTTGTGTATGTGTTTGTTGGAAGGCTGACTAAAACATCACAAAAGCTAAAAGTCAATATAACTTATTTCATTGAAAAACATTCGAAATTATAAACAATAGATGAAGCTGACCCAAGCTAAGTGTGCGCAGACAGTATATATAAATGCACATTATATCGACAATCCATAACCTCTAATTCATTAAGTGTACTGCCCCACTTGCACGTCAAACTGCGTTAGATTAGGCGAGCCCATAAGTAAGTAACAGCCTTCGACAGGAACAAAATTTAGGGAAGAATGCTGATCATAAGTGGCACCTGGATAGATGGCCTAATGCGGTCTTCGAAGGTACTACCTATACCATTTGTCGGGCATAGCTCAAAATATGCTGTTGATCCTAAATTTAGGAAATATACATAACTGAATTTTAAGCGTAAGCTTTCTTACGCAGTGAAACAGCTTCTTCGCAGTGAAACTGATAACTCATATTTAATCTATATTGTATTGGAGGCGCTTGGCTAAGTCATCAGCATTTAAACGTGCCGCCGAGGAGAAGCTACGGTGAAAAAGTCCATCATAGACTATAGGGACAAAACAAATGAACAGAAGTCGGTCGTCAACCGCCATTTAAACTCTTATTGTCATTGCCTTTGATCTCTTCTATATTTTCAAATTACGCTAAAGTAACCTTTAATCGCCCTGGAGGTGCTGAAAGATAGACCTTGATATTGATTATACAAATTGAAACGTTTTTCAAGACTTGTTCATACTAATGAGTTTGAATGAATTTCCCTTAGTCGTTAAAAAATTTCTCTTGCTGTTCGAAAAAATACGCTTGAAGGAACTGACATTAACTGCGGGGTTTAAAACTGATACAGTAGTTTTACATTGACAAAAATAGTATGTCCTCATCAAGTCATTGAATGGTTCTGCACGACTTCTTCCCCGTTGCTTATTTAGGAAAGCTGTCATCATAATGTTATAATTATGCAGAATACGCGTGATTTTACACTTCAATGTGCCTTTAAAAATTTAACACCGAATCCAAGTTAACAATAGAAATATAAACACTAATACAGTTGATTAGGTACTTTAGTCGACCGATGTTCCGCGCCAAACAGAGTTTGAAAAGTCGCATCACAAAATTAGGGTTTATAAACATGACTGGACCTGTAAGAGCGATTTAAATAGGTACCTAGAGCGAAAATCTAGAATCGCCCGTGATTGATCTGCTGTCTACATTTATACCGACCTAAAATTCTGATTCTACCTTAGGAACACGTTAAAACTCGAGCTCATCTCACTTCCAGGCCTGTTATCAGAAACCCTCCTCCCATTTTCCTATGCGAATCTTAGTATAATCATTAGGGGAACTTTATAGTATTTGCAGTCATAATATGCGAACTTCTTACCAACTTCAGCCTACTACTGCCTGCCAGACTACCTAAATGGAACATACTACGAAGTCGATGGAGCTCGGTCATTCAATTTCAGGGTGGCCAACCGAAGAACGAATTCGATTCATAAGCACATTTCACATCCTAGCTGATCTTGTCTTCATTTTCAAATATATTAGCCAATGAGCACAGATGCATATGTGCTAATACGAATCTGTATCGTTGCGCAGAAAAAGCTTCGGCATCTGCATTCAATAATCTTAAATAGTTTAATTACTGGAGCATCGTCAAGCTACGCGAAATGTTTTTTTTTTTTTTTTTTTTAATAAAATATCCAGTTTAAGGGTGTTTTCAGTAGTTTATGATAGGCAGGAAAAGCTATTGATTTTTAAACACACGAGAAGTTTACTAGTCGAGCAGTCGCCATCGATGGTGGCGCCACAGCTATCCTAGCAGACGTTCCCGCCTTTTTTATGTGTTTAGTTAACATTGCCGGTTGTAAATCGGCTTTGAATACGATTGTTGTGTACTGTACTTCGTCCATTCATTTACATATTAAGTTGATATGGCCGTCATATTCAAATTGGCGCTGACCATTAATGCTTTATACCTAAGTTAAAAGGTTTCATAGATGGCTTCTTGAAGAACGAAAGAACCGTTCCCATTGTATGGCTGGCGATGCTCGCTACTTGCGCCACGCTATGGAATTTTTAGGTGGCTAGATATACGGATTAATCTAGAACTGCATTAAACTTCTGATCTAAAAAACAACTTAGGTAGAGGTAGGCCTCTGCATACGTACCTAAAATAGGTATTATTAAATGGCTTTCGTTACCGGAACAGTAAAAGGAAATAAATACTAATAGCAACAGCCTAATCAGATGATTAAAGTAGGAAATCAATTAAAATGAATTGCCAAGGGGGACAAATTATCCAAAGCACACTTGAATATGCCAAATGACGAGATATTTTCCAGAAAATATCTCGTCATTTTGCGATAAGAACGAGTTCTGATTCATAATAAGTTCGTAATTTCAAGTCCTGGCATAGTAATTGGCAACGCGGAGCAGAAGGACGAAGAGACTCAGCGGTATATAAGAACCTATAATATATACCGTACTTATTTTAAAAAATATTGCTTGAATAATACGGGATCTTATTTTTATTACACATTAATGCGCCCGTATCCCTTTCAGATTTGATGTATATTGTACGTATATTGAAGTATGTATCAACTGAAGCAAAGGTTGGCGGTCTATTGGCCCGTCTGAAAGCGTTGTTGACGGCAGGTTGGTTTTTTTCGTTTACCCCAAAATCTTTTTAAATTTCTGTTAAACTGTCGTACTTTACAACTAACATATCTAGCAATATTCTCATTCTGAATTTTCTTTAACAAAATAATCAGACTCATAATTTTTTATAGCTCATAAAGTCTTCATCGGGTTAACTAATGCTCACCTTACATAATCCTAATTTGTAACATGTGCAATGAAAGAAATAGTGTCCCGTTCATTCTATGAGGTACTTGATTTTTTCCATATAACTGTTCTTAACCTCCTCTATGATCTATTGTTTATATCTAAATTTTTGTTAGGATAAATATTCACATCGGGTAATTCACGGAAAGTGTGTACTTTTTGTAGAACCAAATTTCCAATAAACCGAGCCCTCAGAGTTTTTTTATTTACAATAATTATATAGATCTATGTTTTTTACCTATTTACTATATAAGGTGCACATTACATTAAAATATTACCTTTTTATGTCGACGATGCGCAGCTGATAGTTCGGATCTCTTACGACATGATGTGATACATCGACAACAGCCATTGGAAGGAACAATCGGTCCAGGGGAAGTCGCGCCGCTGTTGCTCTCCCTTTGAGGAGAAAGGCTGGTGACACCATATGAGTACCGCCATCGGTGCCCAATTCAATCGTCTCAGATTGGTAGCTGTAATAAAAACCAGTCCAAACAGATTGAAACTTGATTTATTTGGCTTATGAGAATAAACTTAACATGTTTTTCCAAGCGTGCATTGTTGAGCCGTTGCGCCGCAGCATCTTGTTGCCCTTAAGAGGACAACTTACGTGAGTAACATACATTGTGCTCGTTCGTGCAAATGGCTCATGAGATCGTAAAAAATCAATGACAAACTCTCGATATACGTAGAGTGATAAATCTATCTAGACCGTGTGCTATTCTGTTAGACAAACTGTGTTCGAACATGAAGATGCTTAGGCATCATATTCAAAGTTAACATTATTATAAAACTCACTTATAGTCATTTTACTAGCATATAAAAATTACTAAACCAACCAACTAATTATTAATAAACTCTAAATATACTTTATTAGACAATTGTGCAACAAGTTGGCTGTGAGCTGTTGATACTGACGTTAACACGCGACGTTAATGCCCAATGTGATAAACATTTTACCCTTGTAGAGAGTCACTAGCTTGTCATGTTTGTTTTGTTTTGTATTGACTTACCAAATATAAATAGACAGGCCCAATAAGGCGAAAGGGGCATGCCGTTGGAATTAATACATGTCATTCAGAATTTGCAATAAACCATCCTTTCTAGACCTAAAAGATCCCTAATCTGTACACGGTCTTCTTAAACCTTCTTCACCCTTATACAATCTGCGTAAAAATACATATGACGATTTAACAGAGATATCTGATAAGTAGACTTCTTGCTTGGGATGCATTCCTCGAAATACTACAATAGAGTTTAATTTTATGGATCAGGGATATGTCAAGCAGACAGATGACAAATTCTTGACCGAAACGTTTTTGATTGATGACTTGATGCCATACAGGAAATTATTCTGTAGAACATATGCTGCCATTCAAACGAAGATTTATCGATACCTTGTCGGGCAGTAATGACAGGAGAAACTATTACCAGCCCCAAGTAGAAGATTAATATATGTCAGAAAGACGACTGGGTTCAGAAGTATACCCTTAGTCGGACTTTTCGTCAAGGGATGCGGGTCGTAGCTGCTCTCGTGGAATGAACTAGAAAACAGAATCACCGTTTAAAAAATCCCATGTGATACTGATAAACATGTCGTGATCAAAACAGTCAAAAGGCATAGCAACATCAAAAATTATCCTGACCGATGTATTGCCACTCACGATAAGACACCTGATGACATCCATAAAAATAGATCACAAGTATATCTTCGCTGTTGCCAGCTGAACGAGAATCGTCTTGCTTAGCAGAAACGAGTCATAGGCGTCTAGAGAAATAGTTGCAAAAGTATATGTTTCTCAAAAAGATTCAAAAGAAAGAACGTTATCGTAATAGGACAGTACCTTTTTTTAGCTTTTACCATTTAAAAATAAATGTTGCGGAAACAGACTTAAATAGATAAAAAGGAAGTAGAAGTCGATAAGTTAAGGGTAAATTGAATCGACAGGGCAAAATAGTCAATGCTTAATTTAATTTCCTTAGATTAAAGGGACAATATTGAACGTAACATTTCATTTAGATGTAATGAATAGAACCCTTAGAATCTGCTTTAAAAGTTCCTTTGACAAAACACCATAACAATTTACCCCTCATAACAAGTCACCAGCGGCTCGTCAATGTTTCTGCGGCGTTGATATTGAAAAGAAAGGATGAAGGAGCGATCCGTATAGCTAGTAGGAATGTTCCAGCTCTTCCAAGGCATTATTACACGACATTATCTCGTCTTTCATGTAAATTACCCAACGTGCATTCTGCAAATTAGTAGCCCTTACGTTTCTTTTTGATTGTGTCCCGACTGAGAACTACTGGCAACCTCAAGCCAACGTGTACCCTATTGCTCATATCAATTCCATCGCTAATTCCTTATACGCCTATTGTTTTTGGTGCTATACTATGTAACGGTAGTTTGACAGCATTAATTTCATTTTGGTTGTAAATGGACCAAACGTCTGAAAAACCGGAAGACCCGTAGACGAAACCCACTTAATCGCTCCGCATTCTTATCATATTTATTTTCGGCGATCATCTGAGGGAGTTGCCACCCCAAGATACGAACACGAGTATATATAAACGAAGAGCAATCTTTCCTTACTGCTACCAAAATCTTATGTGTGCATAGATATGTAGATCATATAGCCATTTTCACACACAGAAGCCCAAAGCTCACATCGGTATGAAGTAACGAACAGTTACATCGTATTTGCAGGTAACATACAAGTCGGCATGATTTTAACTGCAGTACCTTGTGATTTTTGATACAACTAATGGAAGATGGTGAAGAGCCAAACGTGACAATTTTCTTTGTTTAGAAAATTCGCTACGTATAAAATTTCTGCATTCAGTTGATCATCTGTTGCAACATCCTGTAGTCACTTCTGAGAGAAAATTGCAGCGATTGAAGTTAGATTCTATTCTGTTTATTTGTTCGTTGAACTTGGATCTGTAAAAATGCCATAGCCGACGAAAAAACTTGCGCTGAAGTAAAGCTTAGTAATTCAATAATAGTCTAAATGACATTACGCTGGAGTTCTTGATCCAATAGTTGTGATATAATACAATACAGTGATTGGAGAATGTTTTACTTCAAGACATAACGAATGCAACCATAGGTTCAAGACTAGGACCATAGAAGTACGTATTTGCAAAAACCCTCAATCAGAAGGCAAAACATGCAAGTCTGGAACCTCAAGCGTAAGTTAAGCAAGTGACTAGCGTAGGTCCAGTCTTTATTCAAGTATCAAGCTAAGAAACCTTGCTGATGCGCCCAGCCTAACGACTGTTCGGCCTAGGTTGACTAAGCTGCTCGGCGTGCTATGAAACATTAGCGAGTAAAAAAAACATATATAGCATGGCCGATTGTAACTATTACTAGGTATAATATAAGCCGGTTCATTTTCGAAGCAAACGAAATACAGCATACTTTTGCTGGATTAGACGTAGAAAAGTAGGACTTTTACATATAAGATAGATTTCGAGATGGGAATACTCATTATTTGCGGCATCAAAGAAAAGGCAGTTCTCTATGGAACAAAACAGCACTATCACGCTAATCAAAAGCCAGCTGATCATCGAATGCGTTGACGCGGAACGAACCCGCACCAAGACTGTAAACTTTCCCCGAATTTAGCGGTCTAGGTTGCTGCCGATTGTCAAGCGGTTTCTGAATAACTTGGGCAAGTTTCGATCGAAAACCCGATAGGCTTGGGAATTCATCAAAACGTTCCGAAAAGTTATTTTTAATACATCTGGGTCTTAAAAAAATTAAGTTTTAAATGCAGATATCACTTGCTAAATGAGTCATTTAGATAAATTTCGATAGTTGGCCTTTTTGCACCTTTTGTACATTTTGGGCGATTCCTAAGTTTTCGTAACCTTGAGCTTATTATCAGTCCAATATTTAATTCCACCGGAATTTTCCGTCCATACAACAATCATATGCACGGTTATTATTATAAATTTATTTGCGAGTTAAAGAACGGATATTTTCCTGAGTTGAAGATGTAGTCGCACTGAATGGTAATTATATTCCGTAAATATCGTCGACAGGAACTACACTCTTATCCTATACGGATGTGTTCAGTGTAACATTTGTTTTTGTCATAACGGTTCGCATTTAGGAGCCCAGCTGTCAATTAAAAAAAGGATTCTTCTAATAAGACTTGATTCATTGTAAAACGACAGGCGAAAAATCATACTGCAATATATTACTTCTATGGAGACACCATGCGATACAATGCTAGACGCATTTACGGCATCAAGCGAAGCTACAAGGAACACGTTTTTCTCATCCTAGCTATGGATGGATTGGGTAGCTTTAGATATTTTAGAAAGCCTGCTAATTTGAGAAATACGTGAGGCGATGCTTAGCGGTTGTAGCGGATGTAAAAATTCGAGCCGTACATTTATACACTACAGAAAGTCAGATTTCCGAAAGAGACCGCGGACGACGAAAACAATACTAAGAGTAAAACATAAACACACTTTGACTTATGCTGGGAGTGGCTGTCTAAAATGGACTTTAACGGTAGTGTAAAGTTAGAATACGTATATGTACATATGGGTTGTCACCTAGACACAATATTAAAAATGGCACAATGAAGTCTAACCTCATATGCATGCAGTTTTACAGCAACAGGCGTCAAATAACATAGAAAGCTAAATGGGCGTTCGGGAAGAACCGCCGGATCATGCCATAATAGGAGCTCAGTTGATCCACTACAGTCAAACCAACTTTTCCGAAAAAAAAGTGGCGAACATAAGCTTCGTGAAGCTTATGTTTCAAACAGTAGGTGAAGCATAGGTTTCAAACGCCATGCTAATTGCTTTATAGTATTTTAGAAGGTTTCAGGACACGTTGGCAAACCCCATTTCAATTTAGCGTCATACAGATTCGCTAACCCTCCTGCTGCGTTGATTTCTGAGCAATATGTATGTTTACGTTCATCACAAGCATATATTTCTTCTTGTTTACCGGAAGTATGCCTAGAGCCACGAAGTTCAGCCTAAGGGATTCCTGGAGTGGCTTATTTGCAATATATGAAATTCTTTATTGGGAAGGCAGCGTCATAATCATTGTATTGTGTCGTTTCAGAGTGCCGAATCTGCGCCTGTAAATAAATCAATAATTAGTCAATAGAGAGGAGAGTGTTCCTTTATAGTGACGAATGCTTCCATTCTATGCGTGACTTGATGTCAATACTGTACTGTTTTGGCTAACGGAAACCTGTTATGATACAGTATGTGTATAAAATGATTGGGCAACACGTCTGTGGCAATTGAAACAAAACGAGTACTTTTAGTTTGTAAACACGATGCTCCAAGGGGAGTTTATGAAAGCACCCTTCTGTTTTTGTTTGGACAACATCATTGTGATGATATAAACTAATGCGTACGGAAACGAGATGATCTACTTCAACATCTTAGATGTATGATATATTTGAACTACACTATTATCGTTCGACGCTTGTGTTCT